TTTATAGTTAAGAAAGGTAAAATTGAGAGAGGCTAAAAACTTATTCACCAAGCAATTCAATCAACAGACACAGGATCAAAACTATGGTGTTCTATTAGCACATTACCTTTTTTATGATTATCAATCTCTTAAGCTTTAAAAAGTAGAGTATTTTCTAGAAGAAACAAAAAGGTCAGAATCTACTTGGTTCACTTCATCATTCCTCAGGGAATAGAAACGAGGCAGACCATTTTAATTTACAGTATAATGGGAAATTTTTACTAGTCATTGGATATATTTTTTGCCTTGTCTTACTCTCTGTAAGAGGGGGAAGAGGAAATAGAGGGAGAGAGGAGGGAAAACAGGGAGAGGAACGTGAAGCAGAGTGGAAGGAGGGGAGGAAGGAGAGGAGAAGAAAACTCACTCCTCCAAAGGTGAGATTGCCTGGGTTTGAGAGTCCATCCCACCTCTGCGACCTTGAGCAAACACCGTGCCTCTGTTTCCCTCTCTGCAAAATGGAGGTGACAATAATATTCCATACCCCATAGGACTGTTTGAGGATTTAATGATATATTCCATTTCAATTACTTAGCTCAATGCCTGGCACACACATGCCAGCCATGATCATCATCATCATCTGCTCATACTCTGTGAGCCACAGGGCAGAGATTTCCCTATATCCTGTCACAATTTCTTGGATCATGGGAAAATATGATCATAATTCAAAATTTGCATGTGTGTGTGTGTGTGTGCAATTTTCATTTTCAGACAACTCAGCTAGACAGCCAAATCTCCAACATCTGCAGGGCTAGAGCTGGGGCATTTCCTCAGGAATTCCACCCAAGTTTTTCCATTTAGGTGCAATCATTGAGCAACAAAGGCCATTTCCGGAGGGAAAACAAATCTTGGGAAAAGGCAAATATAAAAGGTCAAAGATGAGTAAAAATGGGATTTATGTAGGTTTTTAAAGTACTGCTTCAAATTGAGAGAGTGAGAGAAAATTCACAAAATGTAAAGATAGGCAAACTGATCATTTCCTCTAAAAATCAGTAACAATGGAAATTAAATCTAAAAGAGGTACCAGCAATTTAAAAATAGTATTATGCAAATGTCAGCCTCTGAGCTCTAATAAGAGCACATGGATAATTTTCTAATTGAACATTTCAAGGGATTCACCTAGCTTCACAAAACAGGTAGCTAATAAAGTTCAAATTGAGAAGGTCAAGTGGGCATCAACTGACACAAAATGGGGATGTGGAGTCAACTTGCTTTAATTGCAAAATCCAGCTTTTCATTTTATATATTTCTTCAAATCCAGAATAATTTTCTAATCCAGAATAGTTTATGTCATGACAACATTCCATCAGGCAGAAAAGGAATAGTAACCATTCAGTAAACTTGGCTAGAATAATTCTTAAATTTACCATGATGACTGTGCCCATCCATTTAATCTGTTCATTTCAGAAGCCTTTTAAAGTAATGAATAACACTTTGTATAGTTCTTTGAGGAATCATCCTTAATACAAAAGTTTGAAACATCCTTAATGTGAACCTGAACTTCCTGAGATATTTTGGAACTAGCTCAAATTATCTTGTAGGGCACTTATATTGTGAGCATTCTAATTCAAAGAACAAAGCATCTTTCAACAAAGCAATATACATAGAAATTTTAAAACAAAATAATCTTTTCTATACAAAGTCAAGAGCAAAAAAAATCAACCCTAGGATAACTACAGTAACAATAAGATTAATCCACAACAGATATTCAGCCACCAGAACAATGAATGTGTCAACACATTTTGAAGTGGTTGCACCTTAAAAAAAGGACAAAGACAAACCCAAACATCTATTAATACACATTTAGCAGTAGGATATTATCTCTTTAAAGGCATCACAATTAAATGATTTCCAGATCATTATCTTTTAATAATGCTTAAAAATATTATTTTAGGCACATCGGAGAGTGCTTCCAATTAAATTATTGTGCGGTTCACTAAAATGCAGAGGAAGCAATCTTCCATTACCTTTTTTGCCCCTCCCCCAACTTCCTCCCAAACTGCCACTAGGGGTCAGTATAAAGACATAGTTCCCCTCACTGTTCGCGAGAAGGATACGGAAAAACATTCCCCTGTGAAAAATCCTAGGCAGCAAAGACAATACACAACTGTAGCATTACTAAGTCCAATTGATACATCACGTCTATAACATGAGTTTACACTTACCATAAGACTGCATTTTAATTTTGTAAACCACCTTGGATTATTTCTATGGTCAATGTTTCTTTAATAATAATTTAGAGAGCATTCTAAATGACAAGATTACTTAGCTAAGTGAATCTTTGCCTATTGGCCAAGGCCTATGATCTGGAACAGACATTAAAATTTATTTTCAAAGGATGATAGTACACCTCTCTAGCCATCTCAAAGGTAGATATCCCATCTCTTCCTTAAGGAATGAAGAGTAGGGGAGTAAAATTGTGGTGTTTTGCCAACTTTAAGAGAGGTAGGGCTTTTTTCCTTCAAAAGGACGATCAGTTCACTGAACTACATACGGTCTTAAGTGCACAATAAAATGTAGGCAACTCTAAGGAATAACATTAGTCTATACTTAAATCTACAGAATGAAAGAAATGAAAAGAAACAGTAAAAATAAATATATATTATCTCTTCCCAATTCTATTTAATGGGGTGGGGATGAAAAACAAACAAACACAAAAGCCTTGAAAAGCGCCTTCTGTACACATTAGAGAGATTTAACATTTCAAGAAGTTCATTAAGGTCAGGCCCTTTGCTGACGATACTGAAATGTCCTAGAGAGTTTGGGTTGCTGTGAATAAATAAAGTACTGCCCTTTCTTAAAGTGCTTACTGTGTGAAGTGCTGTATGCGGCATACCTTGTAAATATTTTTTTTCTACAAATTTCATGGCGTTCCTAGGCATGGTACTCCATGAATAATTCTAGTAGGTATTAAAATTTAGTTAACGCTTTATTTTTATAATGAGGATATTCAAAAGTTCCAAAAGCTCTCAAATACACATCCACGTATTTGGGGGGCATTCTGCCTCTTTCTGGGGTCCTTTTGGGATATACTCCTTTCTGACTCTTCACTTTCTTTGTTGTGGTACTGACCTTATATCACAGTAGCGGGACAGTCCCCAGAGAGAAGCTCTTTGTCTTTGCTATTGTGGAGGCCAGCATTGGCCCAGCAATCAATCAATTTTTTTCCCAGTAACCAATATATATGCTGCCCTCAGAACTATATTGAGTCAATGCTGTTATGGGAAGTCAAGAAGGGGTATAAAAAATAAACAATAAAGTAACAAGGACATTGAGATAAAAGGAGTCAAGATTTCGGGAAATCATCCAGTTTTTCATGGAGAGAATGTAGAATAAGGATGAAGAGTCTGAGCTAGTATGATCTATATGTAAATACTAGACTTGATTACTAGTATTTTCTATAGCAAAACTGCAGTTTTGATTTATCTATAGGCATTAAAATAATTATAGGTATTACTTTTTATATTTTTTATTTTATTCATTGTGTTTTATTTCCTAAAATATTCATCTCTCTTGAAAAACATCTAGTTAATAATTATAATATTTTGTAATTTTTTTCATAGTTTACCAATAGCCAAAATTTAGTTAGTGTTGGCAAAGGGAAATGAAAAACACTGACCACTTTTCATTCTTGGGATAACTTAGAAACTCTAATTCTGATCAAATCCAACAGATGGCGGTGATGTTATAAATTAATAGTTTAAAATTTTCTTATAATATGTAGGATCTGCCCCTTAGATGAATGTCAATCAAGAATAATTCTCTTATTGCATAAATAGTGTAAAACTTTGATATGATGAATTGGATAGAAGAGTATAGATAAATATAATATGAAATTTAGCTGACAATAGCATTTTCTCTTTTAAAAAGCATTATCTTTTTCCTTTCCAAAAAGCATTACAAATTGAGAATTGTCAAAAAGGTTAGCAGTGAGTCAAGAAAGGATAAAGGATAAAGGATAGATAAAGAATCCATACTAACTATGTGGATTATATTTTTACATAAAATTCATTATTGCTCTTGGATTCTATTTTTATTTTCATCTATTTTTTTATAGAGAGTTGTTTTAGCCTCCTCACTTTTTATTTACTAACTTAAAAATAATTTTACTTTTCTTTCTCTTTCTATCATTTTAAATAAGTGAATCTAGTTGTTTTTACCCTGTTTTCCTATTTCCTATTTCCTTTACACACTTTTATCCATTTTAAGTGATAATAAAGAATTCTGCAGATAATAAAGAATGAAAAGTATGAATAGAAGACTCCCAAGACCTTCAGACTTGGACTGAATTACCCCACCATCTTTCCTGGGTCTCCAGATTACAGAGATCAGATCATGGAACTTCTCAGCCTCCATAATCAAATGAGCCAATTCCAATATATAAAATTATCTATCTATCTATCTATCTATCTATCTATCTATCTATCTAATTACCTTCCTCTTGGTTCTGTTTCTCTAGAGAACCCTGACTAATACACATATCAATTAAGATTTAGGGATGATAAAGAATTATTAGTTTATTTATAAAAGTTTCCTTTAAGAAATTCTTCCTGTTTTATAAGGAAACTAGAGGCCTGGTGCACGAAATTTGTGCGGGGGCAGGGGGGCGGTCCCTTCAGCCCAGCCTGCACTCTCTCCAATCCAGGACCCCTCGAGGGATGTCCAACTAGGCAATGGGATTTGTGTAATAGGAGCTCCATTATAATCTTTGGAGACCGCCATTATATATGTATGTGGTTGGTCATTGACTGAAAAGTCCTTATTGGCACATGACTGTGTCTTTGCAAAACAGGCTTATCTGATGACTTATTTTCACATGGGTTTTGAAGGTTTCCTAAGAGTTTATCCCAAGGTAGATCATCTGAAAGAATGTAAACTTCCTTGAAAGCCAAAATATTAAAATGTGCACTTCTTGCACTGTTAGATTTCCCATACAAGGCAGTGTTGAGTCTTTTTGTACTTACTTTGCATTAGTGGGATTGCAAGTGGTCAGATTAGCCAGGGCCAGGGCTGCAGCTTCCCTTACCTCTTCATTGTCACTTTTCAGCAACTGAACTAACTGTGGGATCCCTACAGAAAAAAAGAAAGGTAAAATGTAACTTTGTCGGCAAAGAATATGGTAACCTAAAAATGAACAAAATGGTTTTTTCTAGTTTGCTTACCCTGATGATTGAAAAATTCTTTGCTGGCTGAATTCTCACACATTACCGAAATAGCTTGGGAAGCAGCAATTTTAGTTCCATCGCTTTCAGAGCCCAAAAGGGTTATAAGGCATTTTTCAACCTCTTGCTCATGAAAAAATTTTCTGTTTTCAGCTTTCATTAAAAAAAATAAATAAATCAGAATTTTGCTGCAAAAAAAAATTGTCCAAAATATAATAGGAATTCAAATTATTTGCTAGCTTTAGTCACAGAGAATCTAGACTACACAAAAAATATACCTATTTAACCTTTAGAACATAGCGGTTACACAAAATGAGTCGGGAACATTGATTGCTCTTTTTTCTATCTCCTTATATGATATCACTTTGGGAAAGAAGATTCTATAATAAGAGAGAGGCGAGTTTTAGATTTAGCAAGAACTTACTTAATACCAATTATGTGCCTGGAATGGTGCTGTGTTCACATACACTATCGTCTCACTAAGAACAAATACCTGTTTATTTGATGTCTATTTTAAATAAAATCCCAATATTTGAAGAATAGCTAAGATGTACAAACTGGTGAGCTAGAGAAAGTAAAAATGAATAATAAACTATGATTTCAAGTCTTAGGAATTTATAAGCTTATATTAAAAATTGTAATCATCTTTTACTTAAATTACAATACATAGTGACATCGCAAAAATTAAAATAATTAAATTGCTAAATTACTATACACATAATCTAAACATATATCAGCATAGTTTTCTTTATCTGAAAACAAGTAAAGTTACAAATCTAAGTACATACCATGATAATTCACCCCATTATAAAATAGTAAATTAGCCGAGACCGGTTTGGCTCAGTGGATAGAGCGTCGGCCTGCGGACTGAAAGGTCCCGGGTTCGATTCCGGTCAGGGGCATGTACCTGGGTTGCGGGCACATCCCCAGTGGGGAGTGTGCAGGAGGCAGCTGATCAATGTTTCTCTCTCATCGATGTTTCTAACTCTCTATCTCTCTCCCTTTCTCTCTGTAAAAAATCAATAAAAATATATTTTAAAAAAAATAGTAAATTAAAAACCAAAGTATTTTTAATGTTCTTTTCATTCTTTAATGTTTTTTCTTTTTTTCCATTTTATTTTTTAAAATAAATTACAACCTCATTACTATACCAAAGAAAATATTTTATTCAACTAAATTAGAACATTAAAACCTAATTTTTTGCTTTGTGTTTATAGTTCATTCTAAATAAGCTGCTTTCTATTAAAAAGCGTGTACCATAAAATATATATTAAACCAAATTCAGTTTTAATGCCACAAGAAGTACCAGAGACTACTCTGAAAAGAAACAGCTTACAAATAATTTTTTGCTAATTTATTTAGCTCCTTCGTTAAACTTTGTTGTAGGTTTGATTCTCTATTTAACCTTTATAAAGTCAATTTACATGATTAAAATGGAGGAATGTGAATATATGTTATTAGGATGCTGATAAATAAGAGAATATTCTGTTAAAATAAAAATCTCTGCAAAAAAATGCTGATGCTGATATTAATTGAAATAACAGCTACTAGTACATGTGGAATTAATTCATTACTTATACATATTTTAATTGTGTTTTTCAGAAATGACTGCAACTAGGTTTTCATTTAAAAGTTAATATATGATTTGTCTTTTTTCAACCATAACTTTTAAATCACCCCTTTCACAGAAACAGTGTCACATTTAGATGCCACCATATTTGCAAATACTTTGGCCTTTCATCTGAGTATCTGGCCATAATAAATGGCACAAGCTAAATTTCTAACACTTCTGTTCATTCGTCTTAAACCATTCATGAACCATATCCTGTAATCCTATCATTTAAATCCCTTGTTCCTGTCATTTAAAATTAGAATTCAGGCAGTCCATAATGGTTTCAGTAAAAAGCTGCAATTAATAGTTACATCGAAAGTACATGGCTTATAAAATGTTTAAAAATATATATGATCCTTATTTGTTTTTCTGAATAATCAAGATCTGAAAATTTTCCAGTCTCTGACCTAAAATGCTTAGAGTTATAATTAAGACTTCTCTGACGGCTCTAAGTCAACTTTACTAAACACAACAGGAAAATCTGCCAAAAGAATTAATTTGAAAAGACTAAGTTTGAAGTATGTGATTGTTGCATTAAAAGAAAAACAGTATATATGCAATTATTGGAGAGATTTTAAAAAATAATTTAAATAATTTAAATGGGCAATTAGTTTCTCAACCCTGCTGATAGTGTTCTCAAAATCCAGCTGTGTTCACCAAACCTCAAAAGTGCTGACTGCAGCGTGGCTATAATAAATTTAAAAGATGAATTAACATAGTAACCACGCACCTTTATTGAATTGCTACACGGAGAAGTGAAGTATTTATGTTTTAATTATGCAGATAATAAAGATGGCAAGGTAAATATGCTATTAAAGAGGAACGTCCTTTAAAAATTACATTTGTTCAATATCACTAAAATAAAAAGCATGAGGTTTTGTAACTGAAAATAAATCTGTATGTAATGATGCTTTTCTTCACCTCTTCTCCTAAGTCGCTATGGTGCCACCTCTGCTCCTGCTGAGATGTTAATGCCAGTTCATAAACCTCCTGGCAACGTGGTAATTAACACCTTCCTCCTCCTGATGCCAAGTCGCAGGCATACAGATTTGGGCTTTCCATGGTTAAAATGCATGTTAAAACTTTATTCAACAAGCAAAACTTAAAGAATGTGCGCTATGTGTTTTGTATTATTGAGCCTACAAATTTTTTGATGATGATGAAAAGTAAAAAAAAAAAAGTTATAAATAAGCACTGATGGGTACATTGTTCTTAACAAAAGTATAAGGAATAATATTTGTTAAAACTTAGTTAAGAATGGAATTTTCTATAGGTGGAAAATTATTTTAAAACTCATGATTATCTACTTTCAATACAGAAATATTAGAAGATAACTTTGTTAATCCTTATAAGCTTTTAGAGTTTATCTTTGTTACTAATATCAAATAAGGCATGTCTAAAATAAAGCAAGGCATGCCAACCTGGCTGGGTCTGCGGGAGCGGGCAAGGCAGGCAATGGCTGATATAAAAGGGGGTAGACAAGAAACACAGGTAGGGCCTGAAAACAAGGTACGGTCTAGCATGGAGGCAGAAAGGAAGAGGTGGGCATGGTGGAGCTGGCCAGGTAAAGAGCATTACAAGGTAAGTAAATCAACAAAAATAGAAGAAAATAGGTAAATGAGGAAGACGCCTGTCTGTCCTCCTGCACGGGCCCTTGGGGAGAGGATTGGTTTTGAGCACAGTGGGCAGCTCCACCCACAAATGCTATGGCTAAGGCAGTTCAGAGTCCTGAGGGGAATTCTGCTTCTGCGGAAGTTTGGAATAGAGAGATGTTCTCAAAGCCCTGTCCTGCCAATCAGGAGAGGCCTCACTCTTCGGGATGTGTACAGAAAGGAAGCTTGGATCTTTGTGGAATCATCTCTTTCTAGAGGCTCCAAGAATCAAGTTGCCAAACTCGACTATAAGAAAATTAAGCCACCTGTGCATCCATTAGATTTGCAGATTCATTTGACTCACTTTTCCAGTGTTTGCACAATCACCAAAGGTGGAAACAATTTAGGAAGGAAGGAGACCATGCCAGAAATTATAGAAAAGGTTTCCAACTGTAAGCTTTTCAGTAACAGATGAAACCTGTAAGATAAAGTTGAAGGATCTCTACTGCAATACACATGGGCAGTGGGTCAAATGATGTCAGGGTAGCTGTAAATCTTGTTCCATCTGGAAGATGGGGGTTCTACTAAGCAATGGAAGTTAACTTTTGTCTTGTGCTTGGTTGATATTCCAAAGTATCAGGTCAAACTACCTGAATATAGCACCATGGAGAGCATCTGAGCAAGAAAAAAATGATAACCAGTGGCCATATCATAGTACAAGATGGAAAAATCTCTGATTCCAAGCTAGGGCATCTGGACTTGAGCCTATTTATTCTAGTTCAAGAGTTACTAACATGGAGTCCTGAATCCAGAAGGCATAGATGAGCTTCTGGCAGCCTATGAACTCCCTGAAGTTATAGGCAAAATGTTGAGTATTTGTGCATTTGGGAGGTGAGTCTCTTTCATTAGATTTTTCAAAGGAATTAATGACCCCTCAAAAATTGAATTTGGGTAATGTAGTTGAATGTGCTTGGAAGTCATCAGAAATATAAGCTGGAATTCAGAAGACAGGTCATAATTAGACACAGATTCGGGATTAATAAGCAAATAAGGAGTCAGCTGAAACATGAGTTACAAGTATGATTACTCGAGGAGATTTGAAAGACAAGACAGAAGTTGGGAAGGCAAGTTTAATATTGAAATGATAGGCAGATGAGAGAAAGCTGATAAAGGCAAAGGGTTGGTCTGATGATTAGAATCACACCAGGGAAGAGGAGTGCTATGGAAGTCAAAGGATATAAGAGGTTTCCGGTGGAGGGGGCAATCAACAGTGTGGGATGCCACAAAGAGATCAATAAAGAAAAAACTGAAAATGTATCTGTAGGATTTAGGAGTTGGGACGTTAATGGAACATTCTACAAGGTCCGTTTTTGCAGGATGGTGGAAGCAGGAGGTTAAAGGATGGAGATAAGATGAAGAGGTGAAATTATTTAAATTGACTAGTCTTTTTTTTTTTAATCCTCACCCAAGGATATTTTTCCATTGACTTTTAGAAAGAGTGGAAGAGAGAGGGAAAGACAGAGAGAAATACTGATATAAGAGAAACACATCAATTGGTTGCCTTCTGCACAAGCCCTGACCAAGGCCTGGGCCAGGAAGGAGCCTGCAACCCAGGTACGTGCCCTTGACTGGAATCAAACCCGGACCCTTTGGTCTGTAGGCTGATGCTCTCTATCCACTGAGCCAAATCGGCTAGGACTAAATTGACTAGTCTTTTGGTTGAGAGGTTGATTGAGAAGAAAAGAGGGCCCTAAAGCAGGGGCAAGAGAGGAAGAAACAAATTTCCATAAATACCCCTGGTCAATGAACAATTATGGGCCCCACCAAATGTTCCAAATTTACATCAGCTTCCTCCTATATAACCAATGGGGCCAGGAGGAAAAGACCACATTAGTGTTGCAATGCCGCATTAGAGAGGAGCTTCATCATCATCCAAATCTGGGCAAAAG